TTTCATTTCATCTCATCTCATCTCATCTCATTTCATTTCATTGCATTTCATTTCATTTCAGTCTTTCATTCAATCAATCATTCGTTCAATCATTCATGCATACATACCGTCATTCACTCACCCACCCGCTCACTCAGTCACTCGGGCATCCATTCGTTCCATTAATCACCCATTAGGCATCTAACGCCAACAACCTTTGATGCATTGTGCATGCCACAGACCTCCCTATTTGGTTCCTTGCTGTTTTCCGAAACTTCCGCCCCGGCACGGCCAGGCACTGAGGGTAGCCACTCAGAGAAAACAATGTCCGGCAATATATTCAGGGCCTAGCTTCAAGTCTTCTGCCGCTTGGATGAGAACAGAGCCTTCAATGTGGATTGAGATGTCCAAGGCTGCGTCCCCCGCGTCTCCGTCCATCTCGCATTCAGCTGAAGGGGCTGAAGCTTCAAGCCTCCAAACTCTGGACGGGCAGCAAGACAAAACTCACAAAAGTGAAAATGGATTTGCTTGAAAAATAATGAAACTGCGCAACTTGAGGCCAAGCGTAGCTGAGGATACGTGTGCCTGTGAAGTTGGCAGCCAGCCATATCCATGTCACATGAAACATGTCATCCCCATGGGTTTTTCACATCCTTCTATTTATTGAAGCGGCGGCTAGCTTTTTGCCGACAACTGCTGTCTTCACCGCTTCTTCTAAAAGGGCGCTGCTGCACTTTGATGTGTTTCAGAGAGCAAGGCTTCTTTGCAATCGCCCCGCCTCTACCTGGCCTTGGCTTTCTCAAGCCCACGGCATTGCCACTTGAAAACCTTGCGGCGGACTTCCTTCCCTACCTGGCCTGGCAAGGAATGGAGATCACGCTGTATGGCAGGATGAGGTGGCCAAGCAAGTGTCGTTAGGGGCCTCTCTGGCACCGCTAGCTGCTAGTGAAATTCTCATGGAAGAAGATTTGCAAAAATCTGGCGCAATGGCTCAAGAATAGACTTTGCCATCTCGGGTTCAAAGATGGCACTTGCTTCGAGGTGCTCGGTTGACGCGAAAGCAGCGGCATTTAATCAATCGAGATTGTGGCTATGCTGCCTTACGACGAGGGCGAGTCCTACCCCTTCTGTGGTCCGTGAATGGCTGTCAGAAACGCAACCAGGTCTCGAGGTGGTGCAATGGGTGCGGGCGGATGCAATTCAGGCCTGCGTTGCGCGAGATCAACTTCGAAGCCGTCTTGTGAAGAATGGCGGACGATGTATTTCCATGAGAAACTTAAGCTGCTGTGGTCATCAATGTTTGTGATCTGAGGCTCGCAGGACGTGTGGAAAATATGTCCGAAGGCTGGGAACTGCTCGGCAATAAGTCGCGAAGCGAACCTGGGGCTGATTTGGGACTTTACCTGGGGTGCATGTTGAGCAAGGGCGGGTCCAAACTTAACACCAGAACTAGTTGAAAACTGTAGAGTACAGCGCGAAAGGGGCGCTTGTTTTTTTCTGTCGACAAATGCGTTGACGTCGCGGGCAAGAATACAAAGTTGCAAGTTGAAACATGTGTCTGCGCCAAGCCTTCCTGAGGAGAGGAGCATTGAGTGCCTGTAGCGCGCTCATTGTTTTGATCCAAGTTCCTCCGTCTCCCACAGAGCGAGAAAAGCACTTCCGACGTCAAAGTCTGGGAATCGAACCGTGGTGCTCTTGCTCCAGATGAGGCAAATGTCTAGGTGAAATTATCTCTGCGCAGCAAGAGTGAGTAGCAAGTGCTGCCGGCTTCTACATGGCCGGATGGGTATTTCTGTTTTACAGGTGAATCAACCTGAAACCTACAGCAATCACGCTTGTTTTGCTTGAGCCATTGCGACACGGTAGTATAAGTGAAAAGGGAATGTATATACAGTGATACGTGTGAAAAACACCCCCCGCCGCCCCGCAGAGTTAACGGAGGACGGAGAGGCAAAACGAGCACGATCGCCAGAGGTGACCTGAGAGCGATCGGCATTACACAAGACATCACTGTTACCCTAACTACCGGCTGCAAGTTAGTCTCAGCTCTACGGATGCATGAGGCAAATAAAAGAGGATATCGGGTGCATTCATTTTGGATCCATGTGCTGCATGTGTCGACAAAGCAAAAGCAACATCGGCCTGGCTTCCGCCAAGGCATAGGAGCATTACCACTCCTTTCAATGCCTTGGAAACTTGAAAGCTGCTGTATCAGGCTAATGTACACGGCTATATACACGCGCAGCAAATGCAATGGATCGGATGCTGGTGTCAATCTCTTTTTGAATCAATTGGGAAAAGTTTTTACGTTAATCAATTTGAAATTTCATTTTGAGTTGAATGGACATCGATTGAACTGAGCGACCATGGGTCATTTTCATCCAATCGGCCAAACCTTCCGGCAGGCGTAAAATCATGCCACTGCAATGTGAAACACCTACCAAGATTCATACTCAATGGTACCGTCAGCAAGCAAGCGCTTGTAGTGCGGCTGGCCGTTGATCTCGCAGTACTCCTCGGAGATGACCGGAGACCTCATCGGAATTTGCTGCGCACCTCCCGCAGATCCACTGGCTTCCTGGGCAGAAGTGTCAGCTGTGGGGGCTGAGTCAGGCACCGGCGTAGCTGTTGATGGTGGGCGCACTGGCTCTGGAGGCGCTGCCGAGGAACTTGATGCTGTAGATCTTCCCCAGTCATCAGCTGTCCAACCTTTGCCAGAGTAGCCCTGTCTCCAGTTCCAGCTCTGCCATTGGGCCTGCCCTCCCGAGCGGCTTGAATAAGATCCGTACGAATCCCATTGTTGCCGTCGGTTCCATCCACTGCGACACTCAAAGGATTTGTGGCCATACTGACGGCACTTCCAGCATTCAATGGCTTGCTGAAAAATTGGACGTTGATGTCCATATCCTTTGCCCTTGGCTGGCTTCTGAATTGGATCAAAATGTCGCTTGTAGCCTTCTCGACCTTCTCCAGTACCCGTCTTCGAAGCTCTTGCCAATGGGAACTCTGCCACGTCTGACGCCGTGGCCTCCTCCACCAGGGAGTGCTCCTCGCCCTTGACGTTATGATATTGCTCTGCCCATTGACGTTTCGCAAAATCGACCAGGTCGAAAAAGCAGTCCTGAGCAGTGGTCTGATCAACAGGCATCATCGAGCCTGCCCAACCAAATAACGTCGGCGTGGGTTCCCCCCTCGCTTTCAGCAAGTCTGCGGCAAGAACAGCAAATTGGGGAAGTGTGAAAACTCGAGCATGATGAGCCACCATCGCTTCTTTTGTGACATCCAGTGGAAGCCGGATATCTCTGCTGAAGTCTGGCATGAAAATCAAGCGAGTGCTGACACCTGTTCCCAGTTGCTTTTCGCGCTTCTCTCGGGTACGGCCAAAGTCAGGGGCAATGCATTTTGCCAAGTCCTCCAAGAACTGGCAACAGTCCGGGGTGATCTGGCCAACCGCATTGTTAAAAAGGTAAAATGGATCCTTCTCCATGCGGTCCTGGATCGACTTGTACCCCAGCTTTCCGTATCTTCCCGCATGGGTCTGAGCAGCGTCCTTGAGATTTCCGAAATTGCTTCGTCCAGCTCGACGTTGGTCTGCTCTTGTGCGGTCTGACACTCTCTGAGCCCGAGGCTGCTTCTCAAAGTCGATCTTGTCCAGGGAAAACACTTTGTTTGTTTTCTTGGCCGTGATTTCCATCCGGCATACCTCTGTCGCAATCCTCCCGTCCGACCATGCGATCAACCACTTAAAGCACGATTGGCATTTGTGCGTGCCTTCAATGTTCGTCTCACCGCAGAAGTGGCACTTGACTTGTTGCATCTGGAATTTCGTGCTGTAAATATAATCTTCTGCATTGGTTGAACGTTGGGCCTGTCCTCCCGGACGGCTTCCCTTTCCCCTGCCTTTTCCGCGGCCTTTGCCTTTGCGGATTGTCTCAGCATTCGACAGGGCACCAAAGGAGGCCATCTTCAACGTCACTCTGTCCTCAAAGGGTCCTGATGGTCCTTCTCGTCGACGAAGAAGAGGTGGGAGTTCTTCAGGCGTTGTGGTCATCTGCATGTCGCCTGGATAGATGGACTTGCCGCTCATGAGGTATGACTTCAAACTGGACCGTGCGTTGGCATATGCACTTTTC